CCGCTCTCTCAGCCTCTTCCCCCCTCTTACCCCTTCCCTCCCCTAGGCTCCCTCCCCCTTCCCCCCTTCCCCCCAGTAACCATGCTGTTCCCGGGGTTGGGATCCCAAATAAACCTTCATCTGATCAGAACCCTCAGAAGCCGTGTGGAGTCTCCTTGCCTGCCTGCTGCTGCCAGCCAGCTCACAGCCTAGGGGGCCCTCCGGGGACATCCCCGGGGTGCCCCCACCCCAAAACGCACTCCAACAATCCTGTGTAGTGAGAAGCCTGTTAAAGTCTTATGTCTCTTTTTCTTGTGTCTATTCAATACATAATTCATGTTGTAATAGGCCTGATTAGTCATTATTAAGAACTTGTGAGTGAGACTGGGTTTTGGGGTGCTGGCCGCCTCAATAAAGCTGCTGCCTACTGCCAGTAAACTAGGCAAAGGCAGGGAATTGTCTAAGCTCCCCCCTCTCCATTCATAGCATGGCTGAAGTATACTTTGGCAATTTGTAAAGAAGGAAAAGGGAGTGTCCCTAAGTCAGGGGAATTCAGACAGGAAACCAAAACCTGGTTCTTCAAATCATGAAGCTCATGACCCTAAGTAAAGATGAAGAATTCCCCTGAAGGGGACAGGGGGAATCATCTTAACCTGAGCCCCTGGTTATATTATTGCTGGGGAATGAAAAGGTAAATTTTTAAATTGATACAGGAGCAACTTACTCAGTACTCAATACATGCAGAGTGTGAAAAGTGCATATTATATGGCTCTATGCAGATATTTACTATATGTATTATGTTGTATTGATTAGTAGTGCTGTGTTAACATTTTAACAGTATGGTAAATGTAGTTTTGTAGTTAAAATAGAAACTATGTATGTGGGATATTTTTTAAAAGAGAGGAATGAGGTACTCCCACTGAGATAGCAGCCACAGGACACCTAAATCTTTCAGAGAAAAAGAATTTACTGCTCCCTTATCAGAAGAAACTAACTTCTTCCTGCCTCGCTCAGCCCTAAAGACTCTGTCAGGATTAAGAGGAAAAGTTGACACTGACCAGACAGAATCCTTTGTTTGAATGGAATTTATGCATCATGTATGAAATGTATGAATATGCAGCAGGCTATTGTTTTTAAGGGTTAATCCTCTGTTAACGTGTGTCCTTTTTTGGGCTTATTTTGCCCAGAAAAAGGTACCCGGGACTGGCCGTAACTCTTTGTTTTTATTGTCTCGTATTGTCCTAATCCTAATTGTCCACATTTTTATTACTCTAATTTTATTACTATTTTTATAACCATTTTATTACTATTAAACTTTTAAAATTAAAAAAAAACCCAAGTGATTGGCATTTTTCACACAGAGTAAAACTTAGCTTGGAAAGTCTAAGTGTTGTGGGTGCCTGTTGGAGGTCAGTATTTTTCCTTTTTCCTTCTCTCCGGGGAATTTTGTCCCATTTGATGCTAAGAGACAATAATGACCGGTACTTAAGAGAGACAAAAGATGTAGCCAAGGGGGAGGGGGAGGAGTGCAGCTGGAGGCACTATCTTAGTTGGGGGGGGGGCTTTCTCTTGGGAAGGGCAGAGATACCGTGAGATTTTGGCTGGGGGGTGAGGGGCTGGGCTCGGCTTCTCACTTTTTTTTCTCTCCCTCTCTCTCTCTTTCACTCGGGATCGAAGGGGACCCAGGCTGCTGTTGCTGTAGGGAGAATTTGCCACACGGCAGAGTCCCATCTCCTACTGTCTTCTACTGTGAGTGAGGCTCTGCTCGTAGAAGCAGCCATTACACTGGGACCTTTTTAAACACCCTACCTCACTGGAAAGGACCTTCACCATTGTGAAAAACATGTTACACTCTCCCGTAAAAATTTTAAATTTTAATAAAGGACAATAGGAGAAAAAGACAATAAAGCAAAGATATTATGGCCAGGTGCATCTTGGCACTCAACCAAGAGCAGACGTTATTTTGGAAACACCCTTTATATACCATTTCTATTGCATCAGCCTGTTACATATTCATAAACAATTATGCATAGTATACTTTCCCCCAAATTAGTTTACATATTCCAAGAATTGTTTAGCATATCTCCTCCTCAGGTCTGCCTTTTTAGAGCATGGATATTCCTTGGTTGTGGTTTTAGTCCATTTTTATCATCGCCTTCAGTTTTGGGCTCTGGCCCACACTGTCTTCAGACAGTGAGTGCTGATAGTTGGCATGTCTGTAGCAGGGTGTCCTCATCATATGTTTATTGGATGTTATCCCATCCAAGCAGGCATTTTAACACAAGCACACTTATATCAGCTATTTCACTACCATGTCTAAGCTTAGTTATCAACAGAAATAAAAACTATATCTTTATAACAGTTATTTTAACACCATACATATAGAATCCATTTTAATATTTGCAAAAAGCCAATATTATAATATGTATCTGTAACAACCATCTACTCGGGTGCATCAGGGAAAAATCCAGGACCCCGAGCCCCCTCTCCCCTCCAAGGGAGCCTCTCTCAGCAGCGTTCAAGAACCTGGCTGCCACTGCCCAGCCCCACTGTTTTGGGTTGTTTTTCTGCCACTGCTCTGGGTTTTTCACTACACTGTAACCCAGCACCCCCTGCCTGCTGGGACACCCTGTGGCTCCTGATATAGCTGCAGTTTCTGCTACATCTTGTTTGCTACCCTGGGTGTGCCTGCCTCTGTCACAGCCTATGTCACAGCCTATGTCACAGTAGAGATGGCCACAATACACAGAGTATCACCATACAATATCAGAAGGCTTCAACCCATACAGAGTGTTATAAATAAGAGGCTTGACTAGGCCAATATTCAAGCAACAATCAAGGCCTCTGCCATTCCAGCTGCTGCTGAGATTCCCACTACATCCCATTTCACCATCTGGAGGGGCACCGAGATTAGCTGCCCCTGCGAGGTTGTAAAGGAAGCCCTTTTTATCCCTCCCACCGGTGTGCCTGCTGTTACCCACATGAAGAGGCATCTGAGCTCCCACCACAGCGCCCCCTGCAGCTGAGGGGGAATCATTGCACCTGCCTGCTGGCTGTGACCATAAGTACACCAAAGGGGAAGGTGCTTGACAGCCAAGTAAAGGCTATTACTGGGTGTCTTGGTTTGAAAGACAGGTGTCTGCTAAGGAAGGTGAGAACCTTCCTTGGAATGAAGAATATGACCCCCTTTCCTCCGAATTATTATAACATTGAAATTAGGGGCTTTCAGGCAAAGATTTGCGAAAAGGAATAACAGTTCTTTACTAGTATGCTGCGGTGTGTCCCAGCAGGCAGGGAGTGTGGGATTACAGTGTAATGAAAAACCCAGAGCTGTGGCAAAGAAGCAGCGGCACTGGGCAGGGGCAGCTTGGCTCCTGAACCGGGAGAGGCCCCCTCAGGGGGGAGTGCTTGATGTCCTGGGCTTTCCTCTGAGGCACCCAAGTAGATGGCAAGAGTCCTTTCCAGTGAGGTAGGGTGTTAATGCAAAATGAACTCAGCAGGAACATGACAAAATGAAGATGAGAGGACAGAAAAGGGACTATGAAAGATACTTTTAGTCTGAATAATATTTCAAGTAGCTTAGATTTTCAAAGCCATTTAAAAAGTTTTGTGCACTCAACTTGCTCCCAAATATGCCACTATTTTTTTTCTGATTTTTCTGCCTAATTAATTTTCTCTCCTCTTAAATAGCAACAGAAAATGAGAAAATCGATCACCGGAGGGAGAGACGATGAAAGCAAAGAGTTAACATATAATATCAAGTACAGAAAATATTCTGTAAGTTTTCAAATACGAGTGTTATAAATACATATTATAATACTGGCTTTTCACAAATATTAAAATGGATTCTATATGTATAATGTTAAAATGTTTGCTATAAAGATGTAGTTTTTATTTCTGCTATTAACTAAAGTTAGACATAGTAGTGAAATAGCTCATATAATTATGCTTGTGGTAATTGCACTGCCTGCTTGGCTGGTATAAACATCCAATAAATGTATGATGAAGACCCCTGCTACTATCAGCACCTACTGTCTGTATAAAGTATGGACCAAAGCCCAAACTGGAGGTGATAACAAGAATGAACCAAAACCACAGCCAAGAAATGCGCATGCTCTAAAAAGGCGGACCTGAGGAGGAGCCATGCTAAACAGTTCTTGGAACATGTAAACTAGTTTGGGGAAAAGTTTAAATATGCATAATTGTTTATGAATATGCAGTAGGCTGATGCAATAGAAAAGGTATGTAAAGGGTGTCTCCAAAATAGCAGGTGTGCTCTTGGCGGAATGCCAAGCACCCAGCCATTAAACTTTGCTTTATTTTTGAATCCCATTGTCCTTTATTAAACTTTTAAATTTTACCAGGAGAGTGAACCTTGTTTTTCACAAGAGTAACACAGCAACTTTCATTTTTCCTCCACTTAATCACATTTTGAAAATGTTTGAAAGAAGATGTCCAAAGTTCATGCCCAAGCTCCTCAAAGTTTTAAACACAGCATCTTACAGCTAGGAGAACACTGTTTATCTTTTTATTTGTAAACCAAAGTTTGAAATACCTTACATTACACTTTCATTTGTATAAAGAAACATAATTCAAGAACTGAAAGAACAATGTGCCACTAAAAGTTAAGGACTATATTTTTTTAATCTTTATTTTAGAAAAGGTTCTATAAGTATGATGAATTTAAGTTGTATTTTCAAGTCAACTATCTAAGCATTTAAATTATTTCAAATTAAATGCAAAATTGGAAATCCAGTCACAGATGAGGCTATAGAGTTCTGCTCAAGATTGAAGAAGCCTACCTATGGCAGACACAACTGAACACTCACAAGTTAACTCAGTCTGACCCAGCCATAAATCCTGCAGATCTGAGTGACACTGCTGATTAGGTCAGTTTGATCTACTTAATATAGACTCTCTCTTTCTAAGAAGAATATTAACTAAAGCTTCCAGTTAAGCAATAAAACCTTTCTAATTAGCAACAACAACAAAAAAAAATTACATGCTTGCTCTGTTTCAGGCACTTTTAAGATCATAGTTTATTTGCTGCAGGTAAAAAGCTAGTATACAGATTAAGGGATCTCCTAAATTTCAACTCTCAAGTTATATACCATCTAGTATTCTTACTCTGAATATTAACCAAAAAAAGTTTCTAGACACCTGTAAGCCCCACCATAAGTCTTCATTGCTATGCGGAAAAAAATACATAGATTGATGCATAATTTGTTCAATGCATATTTGCACTGTGAAACAAATGGGACCTAACAAGCAGTGGCAGAAAGACAATTCATTTTTTAAAAGACAAAGTCTTATATATATATATATATATATATATATATTTACAATAGTGTGCTAATCAGCATAATTTGATATAAAAAATAAATATAGCACAGCATCCCATTACAGAAATGTTAATAATCTGAGCTGCAGTCATTACTTGCTAACCATTTAAATGCAACACCTACTAGAACTAACTTTTTGTTTTTAAAGTGTAAAATAAATTGAGAGGTTTGAGACAAATAATTTGTGTACAAACAAACATAAAAACTGCAGTCAAGAATTGTGCTGGTCACAAGCCTCTTCCATAGAGAAGGGGAAAAGAAGACAAGGAAAAAAAAGTACAAATGATGATATGATGATGGAAAGTGGTCTCATTCTATACAGTAATTCTCAAAGACAATGCAGAGACTTAGAATACCTGGATGGCAAACTATAGACACTGGAAACAAACAGCTTTTGCATACATGCTCTTTATAGGAGGCCTTTTTTTCCATCAAATGGCTGATGGCAAATCAGCGGCACCAGGTGTAAAACTTGCAAAATACTAAGATGGGGCAGTTGTTAATTTACAATTTGAACTATATATACAATATAATGGAATGCATCCCATCCCAAAATGGGTTTATGAAAAAACTGGACCTTTCAACACTAGCCTTATGACTCAGATATAATTTTAATGTAAACATAAGTATGCAGGAGACTTTAATGAAAAGTAAAATTTATGGGTCATTTTACAGGAACTATTGAAAAAGCTGCTTAATGGCATTTTTGCTGTTATTTTTGTTAGATATAATTGAAACAACATCTGTATATAAAATGTCCTGACAGATACTTCAACATGAAGCTTTGGTGATTTTAAAAGGCCCTTCTTCAATCTGTTAGGAATTGTACTGCAGAAGCACTGATGAATGCACACATCTGTGTCAGCTGAGATTAGTGATCCAACTGCATGCGCATTTCCTTCTTGAGGTATTTTCCATGTTAAACCACTTCAATAACAGTAAGATGAAAAATACACTAAACGAAGTATTTCAGATAACTCAAAACTGAACAGGAATTAGAATGCCAATATGGCAGTAAAATTTTTTTCTGTTGTTTTTTAATGGGAAGGTCTCTTGTACCAGCAGAATCCTGTATACAGATGGAGAAGGAGGGAATTCACCACATCATTTCTATTAAACAAGAGTTGGTTCATCATGTGAGAAGGTACAAATTACAGAAAACATGAATAGTCAATAAAAGAGAAACAACGGGTTTACATGAGAGAAGAGAGAACACTTTGGTCTGAATGCAGTTATTTTGTGAAAGCTGCTACAACAGCCCATAGAACCTCATTCATGTTGGCTTTCATACATTCAACCTCAGGGTCTAAATCTAGAAGCTGCCGCACTCTCTTTGTGGCTAAATCATACTGCTCATCCAGAAGGGGGGCAAAAGCGTTCTCCAGAACATCTGAGGCATGGGCTAAATAAACAAGTGCTAGCAAGCGCTTCTCCATGCGGTGGGGGTCGTTCACCCATTTGTCAAGAACTGCTTCTTGAACCTTCTTAATGAGGCGCTGCTTGATATTGTTGTTGGTGAGAGGGTGTGTAGTCATGTCAAAAAGAAGGAAGTTTTGTTTTTCTGTGGTCAGTACACCTTTCTCCACTAGATTTTTCGCTAACCGTTCACGGACATTTCGCAATTGATAATGCAACTTCAATGGGTTCCACGTTTCACCTAAAAAAAAAACCAAGAAAAAAGCCAAGAGTCAGGCAAAATTTAAACTGCATTATTACAGTTATTCTTTTCCCCGCCTGCTGCAGAATGAGCTGTCAAGTTAATATAGCTTAATTACACTAAGATATTGTACCCATGTCAGTATTGAAAGTTTGGACAAAAACTACTAAGCCATGTGTCCTGGGTTGTAAGATATGTGTGTATTCTATTTCCCATCTGTTAGAGGTGGGGCAGTTATCTTAATAACTGTTAATTGGGAAGCGTTCTTTATCTCTTCCACAACCAGTCCTCCCTCTGGGGAGATACAGTCTGTTAATGGGCCATTGAGTCTCACTGCATGACTGATAAAAATTACATAATCCCATTGTGAGAAGCTCCGCCCAGAGGGAGGAGCCAAGCATTCCTACCTGGATAGAATCAGAGATTTGGAAGACCACAAGCAGCAGTTTCCCACTGGATTCCCAGAGGAGCAGCTGTCTTCTCCACCAGATTCCCAGAGGAAGACCAGGCCCATCTACACCACCTCTGGACCTTCAGAGGAAAACTACACCCTTCTACAGGATCACTGCTTCAACAGAACCACATCTGTCACTCCAGGAGGACTGCAGCCACCATTCAATCGGACTGCTACCAACACCCTGACTAACAGGGTGTCAGGTCATATTCTGACTCTGTCAGTAGGTTTGGGTTTTTTTTTGTTTGTAATATTGCATTTTTATTTTTAATTTTCATAGTAAAGAAGTGTTATTCCTATTCTCATATCTTTGCCTGAGAGCCCCTTAATTAAAAAACTAATAATTCTGAGGGAGGAGGTTTACATTTTCCATTTCAAGGAAGGTTCCTGCCTTCCTTAGCAGACACCTGTCTTTTCAAACCAAGACACCATGTCTTGATTAGGGATATGATAAATAACCACTCTTGTACTGAAGGGAAAGAAAAAAACCCATAAATCCCCAAAACAAACCACCAAACAAAGCACCACACACAGCTATGAAGAAAGAGTTTAAAAAAAGAGCATCTCCTCCAATCTTGTCCATTAGTCTGCTTCCAGTCTTTTATCAAATCAGAAGCTGGAAGAAGCATCATTGCCATTCTTTCTGCCACAGGGATAAGCAACACTTGCACTATATGTCCTACTCCTCTATTTGTCTTCTCCACCAGATTCCCAGAGGAAGACCAGGCCCATCTACACCACCTCTGGACCTTCAGAGGAAAACTACACCCTTCTACAGGATCACTGCTTCAACAGAACCACATCTGTCACTCCAGGAGGACTGCAGCCACCATTCAATCGGACTGCTACCAACACCCTGACTAACAGGGTGTCAGGTCATATTCTGACTCTGTCAGTAGGTTTGGGTTTTTTTTTGTTTGTAATATTGCATTTTTATTTTTAATTTTCATAGTAAAGAAGTGTTATTCCTATTCTCATATCTTTGCCTGAGAGCCCCTTAATTAAAAAACTAATAATTCTGAGGGAGGAGGTTTACATTTTCCATTTCAAGGAAGGTTCCTGCCTTCCTTAGCAGACACCTGTCTTTTCAAACCAAGACACCATGTCTTGATTAGGGATATGATAAATAACCACTCTTGTACTGAAGGGAAAGAAAAAAACCCATAAATCCCCAAAACAAACCACCAAACAAAGCACCACACACAGCTATGAAGAAAGAGTTTAAAAAAAGAGCATCTCCTCCAATCTTGTCCATTAGTCTGCTTCCAGTCTTTTATCAAATCAGAAGCTGGAAGAAGCATCATTGCCATTCTTTCTGCCACAGGGATAAGCAACACTTGCACTATATGTCCTACTCCTCTATTTCTTAATGTTTACATGCTTTTCTCCCTTTCTGCCCCCACTGGATGAAACAGTAACATGCACTGTGTGAGTGTAGGTGTGTGCATTACACACAGGCACATGTTGGACACAGGCTTTGATGGTTCAATAAAAATTTTCTCTATTTTTTTTTTTTTTTTTGTAAAGGCAGGAGAACTGGGTACTTCAATGTGTGTGCTTAGAGGAGGGAATTTTAAAAGCACAAAATCAGCATCAACAACTACTGAGAAAGCTAAGGTTGCCAGATGAAAAATTGTTTGCACCTGGTGGGTTAATACAATGCTTATTCTTCAAAACCCACTGGCCTATGGAACTGCACAATGTTTATTCTGTAGGAAGAAAAACTGGAAAGCAACCAACCCAATTGTGCCAACTTTTGCCAGTTCACCAGGTGGTCAAGTATGATTTTGGGGTCGCTGACCACCAGAGACCACCAAAGAGACTCCCAGGACAGAAGAATGTATGCGTAATGGGGAGGGAAAATATGTTAATGATTTCAGGGAAATGGTTATCATATGTGTGTTTATTCCAGGAAAATCAATGAATATGTATGTAAAATATAGTATATAAACAGGAGCTTTTTCTGTACTCAGCATGCACAATTTTCAGAGGAGATATTCCTTTGTGCATCCAACCTAATAAAGAATGCCTGCTTCTTAATGCTACATTGGTTTTAAGGAGGTTTTTTTAAACCGATTTTTGGTAAGAGTTTTGGCGACTCCAGATAGGACCTACTCTTGGATTTCAACTGATCCGAGGGATTGCAGGACCTCCAGCTGGCACTGAAAGATTGTTGGGGAGAACATGCAATCCCTGGACCAAAGGAAATCAGAGCAAGACCCCTGGTAAGAAAAAGGCATTCTTTACTTTAAAGGTGTTAACCTGCACATAAGGTGCAGCAAAAGCTTCACAGGGTTAAGTTTAAAGGTACCTAAGGTGGGAACAGGCAAGGTTCCTTCTAGGAGCTGCTAAATAATAATTGGTTTGGAATACCACATGGTTTAAATGAGGAATGGATCATCGAGTGAAGAGGGGGCATTCTGGAAAAATCCCCCCTGGGATGCATCTTAAAACACTGGGGAAAATTGTGGGAGGACCTGTCTTGGTTTGAAAGACAGGTGTCTGCCAAGGAAGGCAGGACCCTCCCTTGGAATGGAAAATATGACCCCCTTCACTCCAAATTATTATAATTTTGAAATGAAGGGGCTTTCAGGCAAATATATGAGAAAAGAAAGAACATTTCTTCACTATTCTTTACTAGTATGTATAAGAAGGCAAGCAAAAACAATGGCAGCAACAACAAACAAAACCAGAAACCCATTAACAGCCTTCTCTTGGCTGCCAAGCGCCTTCCCCTCTAGTGTAGTTATGGTCACAGACGGCAGAGGCACTGGTGGCTCCCCAGCCGGGCGGGGGGGTGTGGTTGTGTTTGAGGGTCCCAGGACGAGGGAAGAGATGAGAATCTTGACTCCATGTTTCAGAAGGCTGATTTATTATTTTATGATATTGTATTATAGTAAAATGCTATGTTAAAACTATACTAAAAGGAATAGAGAGAAAGGCTCCATCAGAAGGCTGGAAAGGAAAGGAATGGAATGATAATAAAATCTTGTGACTGCTCACAGCCTCGACACAGGTGGCTGTCATTGGTCATGAAGTAAAAACAATTTCACATGCTGGGTAAACAATTCTCCGAATCACATTCCAAAGCAGCAAAACATGGAGAAGCTGAAGCTTCCCAGCTTCTCAGGAGAAAAGATCCTGGCAAAAGGATTTTTCATAAAATATGTCTGTGACAGGGGGATGCAATAATTCTCCCACGGCTGCAGGGGGGGGCTGTGGCACGAGTTTGGCCGTTTCTCTCACGTGGACAATGGTGGGCGTGCCAGCAGAAAGGATGGGAAAGGGGCTTCCTTTACAAACACACAGGGACAGCCGATCCTGGTGCCCTCTCTGGATGGCAAAAGGAGATGTAGCAGGAAACCTCGGAAGCAGCAAGCTGGAATGGCCAGGATGAGAAAAATCCCGGAGTGGTAGATGAGATGTATCAGAAACTCCGCAGCTGTAGCTGGAACCATGGAGTGTCCCAGCAGGCAGGGGGTGAAAGGCTACAGTGTAGCAAAAACCCCGGAGCAGTGGCAGAGAAACGGCAGGGGCTGGGCAGTGGCAGCCTGGCTCCTGAACACGACAGGAAGAGGCTCCTCAGGATTTCTCAGTGGAGCTGGCTGGTCCCTGGGTCTGGGCTGAGTGGAGGGGGGCAGCCCCCAGCAGGAAACAAGGGTGTTCTTGGGTGCTGGCACGGCATGCACTGGTTCTGGGTTTCCCAACAGCAGAGCAGCAGAGAAGTAAGCCGGCAAGCCTAGTCACAGTGCCGAAGCAAAAGAAACAAAAAGAAACAGGCAAAACCCACAGAAGCAGCAGTATCCCAGGTCAGAGATACCAGCCGCATGGCCAGTCGAACAGCCTGCCTGGAAAGAAGGGGGCTGCCCCTCGCCCCGCCCTCATCTCTCTCCTGAAACCCCGGCCTGGCTCCCAACTCATCTCGATACTCCCAGAGCCAGGGAAGATGGGCAGGGAGGGGAGAGGGAGCAGCAGCCACCCCGGAAACAAGAAAAAATAGAACAAAACCCCCCAAAATTATATGGGATAACAAACCATACCTAAGACAGGACCCCTCACTCAGAAACAATTGGTTGAGTATTGTAATAGTTGGTAGCTGAAGTATACTTTGACATTTTGTATTGTAATAATTGGTGGCTGAAGTACACTGGCAATTTGTAAAGAAGGGGGACATTGGAAAAGGTCAGGGGAAATCAGACAGGAAACCAAAACCTGGCTCTTCAAACCATCCAGCTCATGACCTTAAGCAAAGATGAAGAATTTCCCTGAAGGGGATCAAGGGAATAATCCTCAGCTGAGCCTCTAGTTACATTATTGCTGGGGAATGAAAAGGTAAATTTTTAAATTGATATAGGAGCAGCTTATTCGGTACTGAATACATGCAGAGGAAAATTTAGCTTGGAACTGGTACGTGTTGTGGGTGTGACACAGAAGAAAGAGAACAAGCCTTTTATACAACCATTGCTATTTAAATTAAGAAAATGGTGGAGGACGCACCAATTCTTGTATAAGCCTGAATGTTCAATCCCCTTGTTGGGGAGAGATT